CCTTTGAAAAAAGCAAAGAGTAATTGTGGTAGGGGATTTGAATGCAAAGTGGAAAACTTTTAGAGGGGGGGTGTGGTAGGTAATTTTTGGGGGTTCCAGGTGAAAATGATAATGGGACCCTTTGATTGAACTTTGTATAAAAAGGGGGTTTTAGTTATGGGAAAATACATATTTTAAGAAAAGAGGAAAAATATTATACACGATATGATGTGGGGGCGAAATGACAGTAGTTTTTTGGGATTATGTATTGGTAGATAAAAAGACTGTTGGTAGACTTGGATGTACATGTTTATAGAGGGGCCCCAAGATATATCAGATCACTTTTATTTTGTAGCTACCTGAGAGAAAAGGTTTTAGAGGGGATACAAGGAGTTTGAAGCACAGGGAAGAGGAGTAAAGGTTTATAAACAAAAGAGGGGCAGTTGGGGTAAGTATAAACGTTTTGGGAGGAAGATGGGTAATAAGATAGCAATGGGGTCGAAAGGTAGGGGTAGGTTTTTAAAAATGTAGTGTTAGAGTTTTCACAGAAGTTTGTGGTTAAGGGGAAAAGTGGGGGCAGGGGGGAAAGAGGAGCGATTGGTGGAATGATGATGTAAAGAGGTAGTAAGGGAAAAAAAAAAGTTGCATATGGAAGTTTTTTACAAATAAAGTGGCAAGGGGGAAAGGTATATGGAGAAAAAGAAGAAGTTAAGAAGTGGTGAAGCAATGTAAAAAGGAGCAAAGAGGGGGGGGTGAGATTTTATCAAAAAATTTTGTTGAAAATAAGAAAGTTTTGGGGTGGATTAAAAAGTTAAGAAAGCCCAAAACAAATGGATTTGTCAGTTAAAAATAGGGAGGAGATTTTTTAAATGGAGAGTTAGAGGTATTGGAAAATGGAAGGTTTTTGAGGAATTTTTAAATTTGAGAGATAGGGGGAAGCTGTGATTTGTGTATTGGGGGGAAGGAGGGAAAAACTTTTTGTAGGGGTGAGGAAAAGCCAGTTGTGAGTGTGGGGGGAAGTTCGTGAGGCAGTAGGTAAAAAAGAAAGGGGGAAGGCAGCCGGGGTTGATGGGATAAAAATAGAAATGTTAAAAAACAGGTGGGGGTATAGTTTTGGAGTGGTTTGGTGCAATATTTAAAAAATGTAGGAAGAGGGGGGGGGGGTAAGGGACTGGGGTTGGGGGAGAGCATGCATAGTTCCTTTGTAAAAGGCAAAGGGGGTAAAAAAAAGTGCAAAAATTATAGGGGGATAAGTCTGTTGAGTGTACCTGGTAAAGTGGTAGATTATAATTGAAAGAATTAAGATAAAAAGGAGAATAGGATAGCAATGAACAAGGAGGCTTTGGAAAGGTGGGGGTGGTGGACCGGTGTTTACAGTGAAAAATATAAGTGAAAGTATTTAGATAAGGCTTAAAAAGGGGGTCTTTGTGGATTTATGGATTTTGGAAAAAGGGGTATGACAGGGTGGTAGGGGGGCAATGTGGCGATGTTGCAAGTGTATGGTGTAGGAGGTAGGTTACTGAAAGCAGTGAAGAGTTTTTTTTTGAGGATAGTGAGGGTAAGTTAGAGATGTAGGAAAGAGGGAAAAATTTTTTCCCAGTAAAAGTAGGCCTTAGACAAGGATGTTGAGTCACCGTGGTTGATTAATATTTTTTTAGATGGGGTTGTAAGAAAGAAAATGCGAGGGTTTTGGAAAGAGGCGGGAGTTAAAAGAAAAGAATCACACCAAAGTGGGATTTGTCACAGTGCTCTTTGCTGATGACACTGTGCTCTTGGGAGTTTCTGAAAGAAAGTTGCAGAGATTGGGGGATGAATTTTGGGTAGGGTGTGCAAAAGAAGAAAATTAAAGGTGAATCGGAAAGAGTAAGGTTATGAGGATAACAAAAAGATTAGGTATGAAAGATTGAATATCAGATTGGAGGGAGAGAGTATGGGGAGGTGAAGTATTCAGATATTTGGGGTGGGTGTCAGCGGGGGTCTAGAAAGATGAGGTGAATCATAGAATTGATGAGGGAAAAAGAGTGAGTGGTGCACTTAGGAGTCTGTGGAAAAAAGAACTTTGTCCTTGGAGGCAAAGAGAGGAATGTATGAGAGTATAGTTTTACCAACGCTCTTATATGGGTGTGTGAAGCGTGGGTGATGAATGTTGCAGCGAGGAAAAGGGCTGGGGCAGTGGAGATGTCATGTCTAAGGGAAATGTGTGGTGTGAATATAATGCAGAGAATTCGTAGTTTGGAAGTTAGGAGGAGGTGCGGGATTACCAAAACTGTTGTCCAGAGGGCTGAGGAAGGGTTGTTGGGGTTTGGTTCGGACATGTAGAGAGAATGGAGCGAAACAGAATGACTTCAAGAGCGTATCAGTTCGTAGGGGAAAGGGGAAAGGGCGGGGTAGGGGTCGGCCTAGGAAGGGTTGGAGGGAGGGGGTAAAGGAGGTTTTGTGTGCGAGGGGCTTGGACTTCCAGCAGGCATGCTTTGAGCGTGTTGATAGGAGTGAATGGGAGACAAATGGTTTTTAATACTTGACGTGCTGTTTGGAGTGTGAGCAAAGTAACATTTATGAAGGGATTCAGGGAAACCGGCAGGCCGGACTTGAGTCCTGGAGATGGGAAGTACAGTGCCTGCACTCTGAAGGAGGGGTGTTAATGTTGCAGTTTAAAAACTGTAGTGTAAAGCACCCTTCTGGCAAGACAGTGATGGAGTGAATGATGGTGAAAGTTTTTCTTTTTCGGGCCACCCTGCCTTGGTGGGAATCGGCCGGTGTGATAATAAAAATAAAAAAATTTTGTTGTTACATATTCCATCATTTCATTTATCGACTTTCCCACCAGTTCTCTGTTCCACTGTACTTGCAGGAAGTTCCTCAAACCTATGTAGTCCCCCCATTTATAGTCTGGCTTTTCTCATTCAACTCCTGTTACCCTCTCCATTTGTAACTCTACTATGCATTCAGAGCACAGAACCATGTGGTCACTAGCTCCTAGGGGCCTCTCATATGTGATGTCCTCAATGTCTGAACTGCTCAGGGTGAATGCAAGGTCCAATCTTGCTGGTTCTTCCTCCCCTCTCTCTCTCTCTGTGCCAAAACAAAAGCATTCACATTGCTAAACTCACAAACTAGTATTTAGTCACTTAGCCATAATACCAACTTACCTCATAATTTGTAATATTTTAAAATAAAGAATTAAACTAAGTCTGCCCGAAATGCCTAGCCATGCTAGGCGTTCTAGTGGTACACTCTGTAATCATTATTTAACTACATGTAAACCACACAACAACCAAATTCTGTAAATTCAACATTGTAATCTTTATAGAGAATAAACTTGGAATTTGAATGTTGATTCATGAAGTGTGTGTGTGTTTGTGTGTGGGGGTGTGTGTGTGTGTGTGTGTGTGTTGTTTTGGTGTGTGTGTGTGGGGTGTTGTGTGTCCCATCCCGTGCGTGCGTGCGTGCGTGCGTGCGTGCGTGCATGCGTGTGTGCGTGCATGTCTGTGTCTACTCACCTAGTTGTGCTTGCAGGGGTCGAGTCACAGCTCATGGCCCTGCCTCTTCAATCATTGCTACAGGGTAACTCTCCCTGCCCATGAACTTTATTATACGTCTTCTTAAAGTTGTGTATGGGTCCTGCCTCCATTATATCACTTTCCATACTATTCCACTTTCTGACAACTCTGTAACTGAAGAAATACACTTCCTAACATCCCTGTAACTTATCTGAGCCTTCAACTACCAATTGTGACCCCTTTTTGCTGTGTCCCATTTCTGGAACAGCCCGTTTCCGTCCACCTTGTCAATTTCTCTCAGTATTTTATATGTCCTTATTTTATCCTCCCTATCTCCTGTCCTCTAGTGTCATCAAGTTGATTTCCCTTAACCTCTCCTTGTAGGACATTTCCCTCAGCTCTGGGACTAGTCTCATTGCAAACTTTTGCACTTTCTCTAATTTCCAGACATGCTTGGACAGGTGTGGGTTCCAAATTGGTGCTGCATATTCCAATGTGGGCCTGATGTACACAGCGTACAGGGTCCTGAATAATTCCTTACCTAGATGTCGGAATGCTATTCTTAGGTTTGCTAGGCGCCCATATGCTGCAGCAGTTATTTAGTTGATGTGCGCCTCAGGAGATGTGTTCAGTATTATACTCACCCTAAGATCCTTTTCCTTGAGTGAGGTTTGTAGTCTTTGGCTCCCTAGACTGTACTAAGTCTGCAGTCTTCTTTGCCCTTCCCCAATCTTCATGACTTTGCCCTTGGTGGGGTTGAACTCCAGGAGCCAGTTGCTGGACCAGGCCTGCAGCCTGTCTAGATCCCTTTGTAGTCCTGCCTGGTCCTACTCTGATTGAAGTTTCCTCATTAACTTCAAATTGTCTGCAAACAGGGACACTTCTGAGTCTATTCCTTCCGTCATATCATTCACATATACCAGAAACAGCACTGGTCCTAGACCGACTCCTGTGGAGCCCCGCTCGTCACAGGCATGCACTCCGACATCTGTGTCTCTGTGTCTGTGTGACTGTGTGACTTTGTGACTGTGTGTCTGTGTATCTGTCTCAGTGAAAGTTGTGGTGGAGGCTTGAGTCTCCATTCTTTAGCATAACATTATTATATTATTATTTACTTTCTTGAGTGAGCTAAAGTTATAACTTTGCTATAAATTTTATTTTGTTTATATATTTTAACCCTTAAACTGTCCAAGCAGATCGACGTTTACATGCGTGGTGTTCCAAAAGTAGCTCTACGTTTTTTTTACATATTTTCAAATATAACCAAAAAAAAAGTAGATCAAAGTTTTTTTACACGTTTTCAAATGTAAAAAAAAAAAAAAAAAAAAAAGATCTACTTTTTTTACACTTTCAAATGTTGAAAAAACGTAGATCTATGTTTGGACAGTTTAAGGGTTAAACTAGTTAAAGAACAGCAGTGCACTTGTGTAGATATTTCATTTCCAAACCCAGTAATAATGAAATGTCTTGTGTTGCAACATAGCTGTCCTTATGGAATAATAATTAACTTCATGTCCACAGATTATGTCAAGAGTAATACTGTAGCTAGTGACATATCACACAACAAGGGCACAGTACTGGCAAGAATTACAAAAGGAAACATAGCAGTTAAAAATGGTGTTGTTCATCTCATTGATCGCCCTCTGATGGTTGTAGCTTCCAGTATTATATCATACCTGCAGGTACAGTGTTATCCCTCTATGTTTTAAGCTGCTTGTAACAGGCAAATACAGGTCCGCCATCACAAATCCAGCACTCAGTTATTTGGTTCCTTCAGTTATTCGGCACTAATTTCGGCTAGCATAATTTCAAATTTCCAGGGTTGCCACACCAACCTGCGGGTACTGTCTGGTGGCGCTACTTACTGCATAAGTCATTCTAATTTCTTTTTCCCCATTTATTGTTATAACCTGCTTACTTTTAGCCTTAGCTATGGTTCCAATGAACAAAAGAAATGCTTCTCATTATGTAAAGCACCTACACAGTACATTATCCATTAAAGATAAGGTGGCTTTGAAGCCACTGTCGGTTGCCATGAGCTCAGTCTTCATGATGCAGGAGAATATGTTTTATTATTACACTAATATCAACACTACAGCTTATTTGCCTATCACAACTGATCTAATATGACATAAGAAACAATATAAATAACATAAAACATGTTAAATACTCCAGAATAAATAATATTTGGCATAATACCGAGCAGCTTGACGGAGGTATGAAGAGGATATGGTATACAAATACCATTCTCCTATCCCTGTCTTGGGGGCTTATATTAGAGAAAACAGAGTGTAGCACAGGGCTAACTGTGATATACACTCGTACTCCACCATAAACCTGAAACAAAAAAGTTATTTTCTCTATATAGATTATCACACATAGCAGCATATGTGTAGAGAACCTAGGATAACCCAAGAAAGTCAACGTGGCTTATTTTTAGTACATGGCTTGGGTTAGCCATATATGATTTTTGGTAAATATTCGATTCCCAACTAGGTAGTAGGCTGGTAGACAGCAACCACCCAGGGAGGTACTACCATCCTGCCAAGTGAGTGTAAAATGAAAGCCTGTAATTGTTTTACATGATGGTAGGATTGCTGGTGTCCATTTTTCTGTCTCATGAACATGCAAGGCTACACATACATGTACAAGCATATATATACACACCCCTCTGGGTTTTCTTCTATTTTCTTACTAGTTCTTGTTTATTTCCTTTATCTCCATGGGGAAGTGGAACAGAATTCTTCCTCCGTAAGCTATGTGTGTTGTAAGAGGCGACTAAAATGCCAGGAGCAAAGGGCTAGTAACCCCTTCTCCTGTATATATTACTAAATTTAAAAAGAGAAGCTTTCATTTTTCTTTTTGGGCCACCCCACCTCAGTGGGATACGGCTGGTATGTTGAAAGAAGGAAGATTCGATTCCCAACCAGGGTAGAAACATTAGGCGTGTTTCTTTACACCTGTTGTCTATGTTTACCCATCAGTAAATGGCTACCTGGGTGTTAGTCGACTAGTGTGGAGGTTATCCTGGGACACTGACCTCATTTTCTTGAAATACTCTGCATAACAAGCGGCTTTCTATATACAGTGGACCCCCGCATAACGAACACCTCCGAATGCGACCAATTATGTAAGTGTATTTATGTAAGTGCGTTTGTACGTGTATGTTTGGGGGTCTGAAATGGACTAATCTACTTCACAATATTCCTTATGGGAACAAATTCGGTCAGTACTGGCACCTGAACATACTTCTGGAGTGAAAAAATATCGTTAACCGGGGGTCCACTGTAGTAGTATGTCACTGATGTCAGCTAGGCCTGTGTACCTTGTACATGTACGTGTAGTAAATTATTATTATTATTATATTATTTTCTCATTTGTTTGTTGGGTTATCTTATTCAAACTTGGGCAATGTATGATGGAAAGATACTTTTCTTCACGTACACCAAAAATGAAAGAAATCAGACCATAAATAGCAGAGTTCACTTCTCAGCCATTAGTGGCCGCTTAGCGGTACATTTTTGTATGTTTTTATGCTTATATTCTCATTTTTTCAGTCTCATTTGATAGAATGAAAGATATATTACAGAAATAGATATGATTTTGATTGCTTTCATGACAAAAAGTACCTTGAAATTGCGCTCACAGTAGCGAAAATGTTCTATTCTTTAGCGAAGCTCAAGAGTAAACAAATGACGTCACCGTCCAATACCTGTCCACCTGCCAGTCAAGAATGGGTTGACATTATTTATACAATTATTACAATAATGCAGCAGTCTGCATAACAGTAAATCTTCTATTTTTTTGTGAATAAAAATTCCAAATGGTAAGCAAGAGTAATATAAGAGGGGCCTGTAGCCATGACTAATGAACAAAGAAAATGTTATTTTAGTGCCAGGAATGTCTGCATTGTTTATTCTGGACCCTATTTTGAAATTGGCATCTGTTGAAATTTGTGTGAAATCGGCCAAATTGCCAATTTCTGACCACTTTATTGGGTAGTTGAAATAAGTGAATGGGCAGTTTCTTGTACTCAGTTGACAGACTAGAAGTAAATAAGTGTATTAAGGTATACACAAATACAGTTACATAGAACTTTAATTTGTGCCATCAATCCTATACGATACATCCCTCTAGCGCCTGGAACCAATCTTGGGCGGAAAACATTATATACTGAGTCAAAAAAGAAGAATTAGTGTGACTACCTAGCAGAGTTTACTGCCAGAGGGGAATCATAGGCCTGTGTTCCGTGTGCAAAATAATAATAATAATAGAACTTTTCCTTGTCAGAGGAAAGAAAGTCTCCCTGATAACATTGTGTATAGTGTATACTACAGTGGCTCCCTAGTATATAGATGATAAAGGCTAAAGTGTCATTTGAAAACAGGTGAATTTGTAAATGAAGTGATAAGCCTATAGAGGCAGGTGCCAGTAGTCGCCAGAATCTTACCACAGTGGTAAGCTGTTTTAATAATCTTCCTGGTCTGCTAATGTACTCGCATATAATCTAGTGATACCAGTGAATAGCAGAATACAGTGCTGTAGTAGCAACTAACCAGTATTATAATGGTACTTAGTGGAGTGGAGTGACTTTCATTAGTTTCTTTTTTCTTGAAATACCAGACGTATACTGTAAATTTCATATAACCTGTAGTTACCAGCGGTCACAATATACACAACGAGAAGCAATTATTACTACAGAAAAAGCGTCCTTCCTCCAAAATTTCCACCAGTCAACTATAGTGATAATATAGCATTTATTGTGGTGGAGACGAAAAAAAAAAAAAACTAGAAAAGCTAGATACAGTGATCTATAAACAAGGGTTGAGGCTCGACCATTCATCATTGTAGGAGCTGCCAGAAATCACCGGTTCTTCAACACGCAAGTTATACTTTTGTATCAATCAAATCACATATTACTCGGGTAGATAATTTCCAGTAGATCCTTCATGTGTTAGCCCAAATCACCGACCAGTATGTTTTAAATAAGTGACCCACTGATCAGATCAGATCGACTGGTCCGAACCCTTGACTGGTTTCAAACGGATTCGTTGGACAATAAAGCAGACTGTAAACCGATGGGGTTGTAGGCGCCCTTATCAAACACAAACAATATATATAAATCAGGAACGTACACGGTAAGCTGTCCAATATACAAGTACAGTTAGAAATAGAAATACAAATAGCTAGAGCTTCATTTAAGGAGGTTTTTAATAGAATATTCAAGAGGTTGCTAGTAGAATTACAGTAAATCAACCATTCAAATCATTATGAATCTCTGTGTAGTCTGCGGGAAGTGTTTTTGGGTATGCCCAAATGAGATAAATCTGTGGACTAAAATCACAAGGGTATTAAAAGAGGACAACATCAAAGCTGCTTTCATAGAAAACCTGGAAGCTTTCTACAACAGATGGGAACATAAAAAGTCTGGGCTGAATGGTACTGCCCTTGATACTGACCATGTAGTCAGAAACTGTAAGGCTGGAGGTGATGTCCTGGTAGTCAGTAAATGTGGGGCTGATAGTGCTGTCCTGGGAGACAGTAATGGTGAAGCTGGAGGTGCTGTCCTGGGAGACAGTAATGGTGAAGCTGGAAGTGCTGTCCTGGGAGACAGTAATGGTGAAGCTGGAGATTTTGTCCAGGTAGTCGGGAATTATACGCAGGAAGGAATACATATAAATGACCTCATAGGGGACAGGAGCCGTAGTAGGGAAACAAGTGTAGTTAAAGATAAAATAAAACCAATATTGCAAACAAGAAATACCACAGGAAATAGCAAACAAGAGGACTCCACTAGCAATAGTGAGGATATATTACCAAAAACAACTGGTGGGAGCTCCATTGTTGGTGCTAGGGAGGATAGAAGTAAGACAGGGAAACATGCACCAACAGGGAATACAGTCACAGAAACCCAAGGCAAATGGAAACCAAGCCTGTGCACATACTATGCACTTGGTATCTGCAGGCATGGGAAATCTGGAAAAACAGACGGGACGTGCAACTATGACCACTCTAGAAAATGCCATGCCCTTATGACAACAGGAAAATGCAAACTCCCTTCCTGTAAGCTTTTTCACCCTAAACTGTGTACCTCTTCAGTACAGGAAAGACTGTGCTATAACTTAAATTGCCAGGCACACCATCTAAAGGGGACAAAAAGATACAAAACATCCAGGCCATGGGAAAACCTGGGTAGCCACAGCCACTCAAGAGGGAAAGGTTTTTTAGTGCCAGGAAGGAAAAAAAACTGGCAGGAAATGGCAGAAATCGTACACCAAATCCAGTCATTCCTGGAGTGGAACCACAGTCGATGGCCTCCACTCCAAACCAACAGATACAGATACTAATGCCAGAAAAAAATCCCCCCCCCAGTACCAACAATACCACCAGCCCGATGACATTCTTCTTTGCAAATATACAGGGTCTAAAGCCAGCAACAAACAACAAAATACCTTTCATCCGTGGACTGCTTGCAGAGGCAAAGGCAATGTTCGCGGCTTTCACTGAGACCCACATAAAGGATCACTTGGACAACGAAATATGGATCCCAGGTTACAACCTATACAGATGCGACAGAGTGAACAGGCAAAAGGGGAGGGGGGTTGGCCTGTACATTGCAGAGTCACTTGTTTGCACAGAACTGCTTAATGCCTCAAATGATGTAGTGGAAGTTTTAGCAGTA